AGACGGTCGCAGAACACGTTTCCGATGAGTCGGTGAAAGCCGTAACCTACGACCTGATACCAAGTTTCGAATCCCTGTCTCTTATACACATCTAGATGTGTATAAGAGACAGGATTCGAGGACGAGGGGTACCGTCTCGGTAAGACGTTCGCGAACCTCCTTCTCGGTTTGCCTTTCCTGCAACGGTTGACTCTGGTGGACGTGCCGATCGTCGACTCTTTCGTGGTGACCCTGATTCGAAAGAGGAACGTCCTCCTGCACTTTCGGTTGGTCAGATGTCACAAGTTGAGGTTCTCCACCGTCGTCGAAGACGAAGACGGCGGAGAGCGCGTATGCGACGATAACTCGCCTCCGATTCTCTGTCTAGAAGAGATGCACGTGTCTCCGATCAGGCTAGCGACGACCTTCGAAGGAGTCGTTTCGGAGATCGTGCTGAGAAATTGCGAGTTCGACGCGGACGAGCTCACGAACCTTGAAAAAATGAAGGTTGTAGTGGAATGATGTCGATTCCATGTATTTCAGATTTAGACCAAAAAAAAATAAATGATAGGGGAAAAAATACATAAAAACTTAGCCGGTTTTTTTAGTGTGTGAAAGTTTGCGAACTTGACGTTGAATGAGCGAGTGACAGGCGAACATAGAAAGATCGATTCAAGGTGACAATTTTTTTTCGTATTTATTTTTTAATCGACTTTCAAACAAGCGTAGTCCGAGCGTGAATGTCGGACAGTCTGTTGGCGTAGTACGAGCTTCGATCCTCCTTCACGACCGGTCGGTAGCTTCCGGAATTGTACATGCGCCTTTTAAGGCAGCAGCTGAGCTGGAACAAGCTCACGATCAATACGGCAAACGCAAGACCTATCGTCAGCGCCAAACGCAACTTATCTTGGGCGAAGAAGTCCATGGTCGGTTAACTCGGTGTCCTCGAAAACACATTTATACACTGTGAAGATTAGCGTTTGATAGATGGACGACGAAGACCGCAACGATGTTTATTACAACTGCAATATTTCTGATGTTGCTATCGGCTTCGCCGGGCCGGTGCCGGAAGCAGTCGGGAAGTCTCGGAGATTTGAAGTTCGGTTCGAAAGGGAGGGACACGTTCGTGGTCGTGCCGGACGACGCGTCGGCGGAAGATCCGTCGTCCTGAGAGAAGTCGTCGTTGCTGAGCGTCCTGCCTTACGATCTGGGACAAGTCTTCCTGTCGAACGTGACCGTGCTGCCGATGTGCGGAGAGGGAATCATCGGTCGCCGACGGACGGGACGGATGCAACGTCTTCTTGATCGACAGCCACGTGCACGTCGAAGGATTCGAGTTCCGCTGCGACGGGTACGTCGGAGCGAGAGGCGATCTCTCTTCGTCGGTGCGCGTGACCGGAGTTGGCAGGGCGTTCAACGTGACTTTGAAACCTTTGAGTTACACGAACGGCTCCAACGAGACTCACGTCGAGGCTCCCCCGAAAGTCGTGATTCGGGCGTCTCCACTTCTTTCCGAAGGCACATCCGTCTGAACCGGGTGACCGTCGAACGGGTAGTCGGAGGATCTGTGGTACTGGAAAGAACTTCGGGGTCGATCGCCGTCTCTGATTCAACCTTGCTTGAGACGATCAGAAGCGAAGACACGAAGATCGATCGAAAATTCACTCCGCTGTTGAATTGGGACCTGTGGGGTGTCGTGAGAACTGCCAAGTCCGCAGACGTGGAGAAACGTTCGTGTACTCTGGAGATGATCGGATGCAGCGTGGTGATCGTCGTGACGTTTCTCGTGTTCGCCGCCGTTTGCGCGGGAGCCAGGATGCACTCCGCAAACCGTACGGCGGCCGAGAAGGCGTTCATCGACAAAAAGGACGAGAGCATGTCAGCCGCGTTCGAAGAAGACGATCACAAAGAGACGACGTTCAATCTGTGTTAAAGAAGTGCCTTAATCTCGTCGCCAACCGCGCGTGGGTGACGGATCTGTTTCCTCGATCCAACCTGTGCAGCTGGTACACCATCTCCCGGTGAACGGACTTCAAGGCTCGCCGGAAGACCGACAGTCCGTACGAGATGAGCGGCCAGCAGTTGAGCAGGACGACGATCGCCAGGATGAGGTGCTTTCTGACGAAGTCGAACACGAGGTCGAGGTGGAAACCGAAGCAGACGTCGTCTTCGTACGTCGGTGAGCAGTCGCCGTGAATCGGTTGCCAGACCAGGTACTTGATCGGATAGTAGACGACGTACCGCGTGAACGTGATCGAGCGATACCTTCGGAGACGGTCGCAGAACACGTTTCCGATGAGTCGGTGAAAGCCGTAACCTACGACCTGATACCAAGTTTCAAATCCCTCGCAACCGTCGACCGTATGCCACAGGGATTGAAACTTGTACATGGCCTCGCGCAGATTCTTCTTCCTACCGTGATTGAGGAAGAGAGGGTCAACGAACTTCGTGATTTCGTACAGCGTCTTGCATATTCCGGCGACTACGACCCTGGCGGTAACTATGAGGTGGCTGAGAGTATAGCAGGCTACCGCCGTCACGATGGAAATCCAAAAGTACGGTCTTATCGGCAGCCACCTAAACGCGGTTTCCAGCAGGGCTAGCTTCAGACCCATGCCGATCGTTTCACAGACAGGCGTCCGCGAACGCTAACATCGCTTCCGACGGTCGACGGGACAGACGCAGTGCTGCCCGTTCTTGGCGTCCGAGTAGACGCACCTACAGCCGTTTCGTTTGCAGCTGGAACAGTCGACGGGTTCTTTGTGCGACGCAATCTTCCGTTTGCACACCGGCCCCGCGAATCCGTCGTCGCACACACAGTACTTGGACGCGCCGTCTTGCTCCAATCGTCCACGTCCGCCGCCGCCGCACAGGTGGTCGTCGCACCTATCTTTCGGCCTTCGCACCAAGAGCGTGAGCAACGTCACAGTCGTAGCGATCAAAAGAGCCACGAACGTCATCCGACAGAATCCGCGGTCGCATTTGCGATCGACGACGCGTTCCTGCTGGGTTCGATAGAATCTGCACCTCCGAACTGTACCCACCATACGGTGACGGCGACGATTATCGATACCGAGATGACGAAAATCGTCAACACCGTCAAGATGACTTTGGTCTTCGAAACAACAGGTTTACGGTATACCATACTCACACTTTTATTATTATTATTTTGTTTTAGTGGAATAACTTTCTCCAAAGACATTAATGCCAGGTTGACTAATGATACAATAAACTACATTAAAAAAAATGCATTTTTTAGTTTCTCTTTATTTTTTTTAATGATTCAAAATATATGTAACAGTTTGCATTTTTATTTACAATACGAAAACAAAATATATATAAGAGAAAAAGAAAATGTTCACGCTCTGTACACTCGGATGCCGTCCGGAATTTGGCATTCCGACATCTTCATCTCGATCAAGCACCTGCCCAGCGGACATCTCGCCGTCCGTCCGGAACAGGATAGACACATCAGTAGATGTTGGCAGGAGAGGGTGAACACGTCCGAGACCGCATCCAAGCACACCTTGAACGAGTCGGACTCCTGTCTCTTATACACATCTAGATGTGTATAAGAGACAGAGGATGCACTCCGCAAACCGTACGGCGGCCGAGAAGGCGTTCATCGACAAAAAGGACGAAGACGGCGGTAGCGCGGTTAAATGCCTGTCTCTTATACACATCTAGATGTGTATAAGAGACAGTGCTGATAATCCGTCGATCCGACGCTCGGCCACGGTTCGATGGAACGGGTCGTCTCCGTCGCAGTGGACCACGCATCTCCTCGATATCTGGAGCGGCATGTTTCCGATTATCAAGTAGTATTCGATCGCAACTTCGGAAGCGACGACGTCGGTCTGAAAATGTACCTGGTATTTTTGAACGTTAGACGAGATGTTTATCTCGTTCATCAGCATGACTTGTTTCAGGCAATTGACAGTGTTCCGACTCAGGGGGCACAATTTCATGTAACTTCCGTCGAGTAAATTCGCAGTCTGTCTGTCTAAAGTCGCTTTTGAGAGCACCGTGAAACTTCCCCGAGTGTCACCGTCGTCGACGCACGTCGGTATGTACAGGTTGTATTCGTCGTTCTTGTTCGGGGGTATCTTCAGCCGCACGTTACCGTTGGAAGAAACGAACGAGACGGTGATTTCCTTGATGTTATTCATGTTTTGCAATTTGTGGACTTAAACTCGGCGAGAGCGGCTCTTATAAGCCTCTTATTTTGTGGGAGATGCATCACACATGACGTCATGTGTACTTTCAATCACGACGCTTTCTGTATGCTTTCTGGATGAACGAGGATGCATGACACATGACGTCATGTGTACTTCGAATCGCGAAGCTTTCTGTATGGTTTCGAGTTGAAAAGAAATGTGTGACGTAGCGCAAAAACCGATGACGTTAGTCTCATCTTAGA